TCCCCCGCGCCCGGGAGGAGCCTGCGCTAACCCCTTCGCTGCCGCCGCGCCGGGCCCGGGGGGGACAGCGCCAAAAGCCGCCGCTCGCAGGGGGCCGGATCCCCGGCCGGAGCTGCCTGACGCCCCCGCCGGGGCCGGAGCAGCCCTGGGACGTGAAGGTTGCCCAACAGATGTCAGCTCAACTCCTTCGCCAGCCGGCAGCTGGTGGCCGCCGGCGCTGCAGGAGGAGGCCGGAGGCTCAGCCCGGCCCCAGTCGCTTGTGGCACCCAACGAGGCGGCGGCAGAGTAGGCAGGTCGATTTGATCAGGTCCAGGAGCAGCTCCGGAGCTATTTGCAGGCACACACCTGTTAGCAGGATCAGGATTTGAGAGTTCAACTTCCCCGGAGCCCAGACTGCTTCAGTTTCTGCCTTGTGCACATGCACAGCACATTGACAGGCCTTAGTGAAGTAAAAGTAACCCGTCCTGCTTATTGTAAAGAAAACCTGTACTTAGGGCTTCTTTCCACGATGCTTTGGAGAGCCACAGATCTTACTGTTAGGAAGGTTTGTCTTGCACCTGACCCTAAACGTTTTCCTTTTCAATTTATCCCATTATTACTTCTAGTTCTTAATTCTTTTCATTACCTGAAATATCTCCCCTTCCTTCCCATAGCTTAAATCATTTCAGCTGGAGAGGAGACATATTTGTTGAGTATTATCTTGTCCTCCCGATTCCTAAGGCACAACCAACTTTGCCAGTTAGTTGGTGCTGAGCAGATACGGGGATCTGTGCATTGCATCGCATGCCTGGAACCACACACTGTGACAACACCAAAAATGCTATGATTTATTGTTGTGTGGAATGCTATAAACCAACAAAATGGCACACATTTTCTCAGATTTTTACAATGTAACAGTAGGCAAACAAGCCTGAACAGTGGGTTTCTTAGGTTTTTTCAGTTGTCAAGAACAAAAGCACCACTCACATTTTTATTTGAATATTAAAGTATAAAAGAATTGGTAGCCCCTAATCATTAAAAAGCCTAGTGGGACAGTCTTAAAGGGGCACTGGCAAATTAATGCATGAAATACTGGTCCTCTGAATTTTGCCATTGACTTCAGTGAAACCAAGAATTCACTCTTTATATTGGGAAATTCACACATCAGTTCCACAAGGATTATCTTCAAGTCTAGATACAGAATTTTTGCAACTTAATTTACTTTTCATTATTTATGTGTGTTACATTTGCATTTCACTCACTTCACTGTGAAAATTCTTTCCTAATCAGCTTCTTTCATGTTCCTATACATTGGCATAAGCCTTAAATGCTGGAGCTGTCAACACTGGTTCCAGTTCCTCAGGGACTCCAGTATTTGTTTTAAATTTAGTAGGGTGCAATACCCATTTGACTTCAGTGGGACTACACATGATAGCAGTGTTAAGCAAATGCACAGATCGGTGATTCTCAACCAGGGTGCCAGGCCACCCTGGGGTGCTTTGACATCCTTTCAGGAGTGCCATGGGGTGCCAGACCTTAGTACTGGTAAGTGTGCCTACTGGATTCACAAGATAAACCTCAAGATCCTGGCCTGTTGTGGTCTTTCTGAGTTCTGTGCAACAAAAGATGTGCTCTGTTGGGGACAAGAAGTGCCAGGCTGGGGCAGACCAACAGTCCAGCTAGCCCTGTATCCTGCCAACGTGTGGCAGAAGTGGATGTTGTAGACTAGAGGGAGAGCGTTAAACTGGTATCAAAAGCACTGGCACAACCTTCTGGCACCGCAGGGTAAGCAAGCGGTGCAGGACCAGCCTGTGGGCCAGACTGGCCCCTGCACCCCAGGATTAGGCCTGCACACCTGGATCTGGACTGCGCTTTCCCAGGACCCCATGCAACCTCCGCCAGGCTGTGCACCAGGATCAGTGCCTTGGCCCCCATGCCACATCTTCCTGGCTTTGCATGCCAGATGGAACCCTGTGCTGCCCTGCACACCAGATCCAGCATTCAGGGTTATGACCTATGGGGCTCCCCACAGCCCTGTGGAGAGCCCCACAAGCCAGATGACAAGATGCCAGGGTTGGATCCAGCCTGTGGGCCAGAGATTGAGCACCCCTGCTCTAGAGCCGCTATTCAGTACCCTCTGCAGGGTCTATGATCGTTGGTTTGGAGCTGCCAGAGCCCAAGGAAACCCCTCCAACCGCTCCCTTCAAAAGCCATTTACAGATACAGAGGATCAGCCCCTGCACCAGGCGCTCTGCAGGGCCCATTGCCGCCAACCGCGCAGGCCACCTGCGCCGTAGGGGAGGCGCGTCTCTGCTCGGCCTTAACCTCTGCGGTCATGCGGCCCGCGGCGAACTACAGCTCCCAGCAGCCCCTGCGCTTCCTCTTCCCGGCGTCACCTGTTGCTCTGGGCGGCCAAGATGGCGGCGCGCTGGAGCAGCGAGAACGTGGTGGTGGAGTTTCGGGACTCGCAGGTGAGCGCTGCCCGCCGCCGCCGCAGGGCGCATGCGCCCGCCCCCCCTGCCCGCCCTTGCTGGGGGCGAATCTGCTGTCCCCGGGAGGAGCCCGGGCTGCGGGGCAGGGGGTTCTCCGCTCCCGTCGGCTTTGTGCTGGGGGGTGGCGGGGCTTCAGGCTATCCCGCACAGGGCGCTGCCCGGGGCCCCTCACCCGCAGCCGGCCGGGTCTGGACTGGAGCCCAGCAGATGTTGCTGCCGGGGTCCCACAGCCGGTGCTGAAGTGCGGCTGCTTTGTGGGAGAGGCGCGCCTGCCGTTCCTTGGCGCAGCCCTTGACCCACCCTCCCAGCGCCTGCAGCTCCTCTGGGCAGCGACTGCCTCGCCAGGGCGGTTTGTCTGAGGTTGCTTCGCATCCCGCGCGGCCTGTGAGCCGCGGTGCTGCCCTGGTGTGGGGCCAGGCAGGGAAAATCCAGTATCCAGCTGGAACCGTGGGGAAAATCTAGACTTGAGTTGGACGGTGTTAACCCAGTGAAACCGTGTTTCTATCGCAAGTCTTTCGCTGTTTGTAGTTACAGTTTAGGGCCTGAGTTGCCTGTGAGTAGGAGGGCAAAACCAGCAGCAGCAGTTACGAGAGAGAGATTTCTCTCTCTCTCTCTCCTTTTTTTTTTTTTTTTTTTTTTTCTTTGTGCTCTTGCAGTTGCATAACATGTGGCTGCTTTCAAGAACAGTCTTTGAATAGAAACTTTCCTCTTGTTTTAGTGAGGGTTTTGAGAAGCATCAGGGACAGAAACAACTAAAATGATGCTCTGAGATGGCTTTGTATGGCCCTGATTAATGTGGTCTCATTGTTTCCACATATTTCTCATCTGTTCTCTTGTCTTACACTTGCATTGTAAACCCTTTGGGGTAAGGGTTGCCTCTTTGTCCTGCTGTTATAGTGCTTAGCAGAGATGGACCTTGTCCTTGAACATGATGGTAATAAAGATAACAAGTAAAACCACCAAAACTAGCCTGAGAGACTCAGGGGGCTTGTGTTTTACCTACAATTATTTTTAATTTGGTTTCAGGAACTATATAATTTTCCAGTAGCATCCTTGTAATTTCTTTAAAACAAAGTTTTATGAAACCTAAAGGACAATGCATACTTGAGCAGTAAAATGGATTCCATTAATTTAATTCATTTTCAGTCATTTCACTCAAGTACTTATGTTTGAGTGACACTTTTTTGTTACCTAACAGTATATATAGTTTAAAATCTGGCACTGTCCCTGATAAGTGAGGGACTGTTTTTCTGAATATAGGTTTCCCTCACTTTATGTTGTACATGCATTCTTGGACAACGGTGCATGACTCAAATTCACATAAAGGGAACTCACTTTACAGTGTAACAAATAGGGATGCATTCCAAGACCTCGACTGTACTGACCCCCAGACCTATTTCTACCACTTTTTTTTACAAGACAATTTTGGTACTCGCCAACAGCAGGCAGTATACACAAGCACAGGGTGGTGGTGAATGGGGATGGCAACTACAGAAACATGTGTTGCAGACAACAAGCAAGGAGCACAAATCCACACAGGAGACTATATTTTGGTGTGCGTCACTCCCACAATGCACCACACAAAGCAGCTGACTGCGGGTTTCTACCATACCAATTGCTAAGAGTGATTGTACTTCGCATATAATATATTTTTGGTATGAAAAGGGTCATCGCATAAGAGTGATTTCGCACATGCAGAACCTGCATAAAGTGAGGGAAACCTGTACGTTCCCCCACCCCCAAATTAGAAATAAGTCAATCTAGTAGCCCTGGACAGCTGTTGGTTTCAGCTTTGTGCTGTTGAGCCTCCTTAACTATGCTCTGCAGGGGCAGATTGGGGAGTTGGGGGAGTGTAGTTGTACAGTTGTATCCCACTTTGATTTCTGTTTCACCCAAGCTTTAAGGCCAAGTGCCTAGAAAAGAGCAGCATTTCTATTCAGGCAGTGCTGAGGGAGTCAATTAACTTCATGGCTCACTTTAAAGTACCAGATTCCTGGTAATCTCGCTTTACTCCATAGGTATAAGTGGCCCCCTCTCCTTTTAATGGTCTTAATGTTCCATTAATCAAGTTATCCTTTTTTTCCTGCAGTTGTGCTGCCTGTTGGCTATTCCTGGTAATATATCTCTTCCATTTCATATCCCTGAAGACTGATTTTAGTTTTAGCTAAAAACCTTAACTGAGATGTAGTAATATTAATTCAGGTGAAAAGACAATTGACAGCAAAGTGTTGAATGTACAGTCAAATTCTCAAGAAGGCTAGATTTGTTTTACATGTCTGAGTAAAAGAGTTGCATTTAACTGTAATGACTACAGGACTAATAAAACAGTATCTTTGTATTTTTTTAACTTGATTTGTAAAACTAACAAATTAGTACATGTTCCAGTAAAGTTTTATATTTGCTTTGATCTTAAACCGAATAACGGCTCCTAGCATATTAATAAATCTAGTTTCCCTTTAACTGGAGAAAAATGTGTTTTGTATTATGTGATGATGCACTATAAAAGCTGCATGCCCGTCTTCAAAATCCTAAATCTCCCCATGGCTCTGTTCTAGGAATAACTGCAATCTAGAGAAAGTATTCTCAATGAAAGGGAAGTAATGAACAGCTAAAACAAATGTTGCCTTCTCCTACAGGTGTATTTGCTTTTAAAGCCCTATTCCTAAATTAGATTTCTGAAAATAATAATGATAGGAGATCTGTGCCTTGGTGTCATTTACTTGGAGTCCTTGGATGAATTTGTAGTGACTACCAGACATCTGAAGAGCCAAGACAGCTTCAGCCTGCTAGGAAATATGCCACTTTGGTAACAGAAATAATGTTTTTAAGTTGAGACATTTTAAAATGGAACAGGTGTTGCTCAGCACCATTATCATGCTGAAATCCTAGGATAAGTATATATAATTATGCTGTGACTAACTTTATTTTGCTTATTGCATATTTATTCCTTTTAGTGATGTGATCATATCAGATATCCTATTTTTTTCCAGCTTAATCACAAATCTGATGTGCAAGGTATTTTTTTTCTACATGCCCATGACCTATGTGGTTAAGAATATTAAAATGTTAGAGGGTTGATAATTTTTAATATGTTTCAAATTATTTCTGTTACTAATTGAGTTTATAGGGAAATGCATTTATTTCTGAAGGCAGTTTATTTCTAGTCAAAATCATTCAGGCAGGTTTGATTGGAGGAATCTTGGAGTTACTTGAAAAGTTAAGTAAACAAAAAAGTCAGTTTTTGTTTAAAAAGTCTGTG